TTCTTCTTCTTTCTTCTTCTTTCTTCTTCTTCTCCCAGAACAGAATTTCAGACCGAGAAAGGGATGGAACTGGGGGAACCCATTCATCCCCATGGATTGATCGACACAGTTTTAAGAATATGGCACAGCCCTCCTGCAGCTGTTCGACTTCCGAATGTGGCGAAGTCTAAACTATTCTAGGATAGAAGTGGGAACGGAATGGAGTTCCATCCCATCGAAAGTCTGGGGCTTTAATTTAGTCTCGGAGTGTGTGTGTGTGTTTCCGGAAGGGAAGCAGTGAAGAGAGGCTTATGGAACTGGTACATTCCCCTTCCCACCCAGTAATGCTCACTGCACTAGTCAAAACACCCACAACCACCAGGAAGGGGGTTGAGATGTCACTGGTCTCTTCTCAGAGGCCTCGGGTCACAGGCAAACAGGTTCAGCCACGCTAAGCTTTTTCTGCCTTACTAGAATGGATTGTGGAATTTACTCCACCACAGGGGTGGAGTGGTCCAGGTCCATTCCGTCCTCCACCCAAGCTTTTAAGAAGAGGAGGAGGAGGGGATTGGATTTATACCCTGCCCTTCACTTGGAGTCTCAGAGCAGCTTACAAATTCCTTTCCCTTCCCCTCCCCAGAACAGACACCCTGGGAGGGACGTGGGGCTGTGAGAGCTCTCTCAAGAATTTGAAGGACAGCTCTTGTCAGAACTATGGCTTGCCCAAGGTCATCCAGCAGGTCCAAGTGGAGGAGTGGGGAATCAAACCCGGCTCTCCCAGATTAGAGTCCGCACGCCTAACCACTACACCAAACTGGCTTAAAGTGTAGAACCGAGCGCACGGGCACCTGATGAGACACGCTATACCTCCCCCAGTAGCTTATTTTTAAAAATCGGTTAGTTTTTACGATCGCTCCACAATCCGGCTTTGTTTCTTGTCAAGGGAAGCCGCCTAGGGGATTTTGACCACCGGCTGTGTCGCTTGACTTTCAAGCTGGGTTGGTCTTGCCAACAGTCAACTGGCGAATGTAGAGGACCAAAAGGGAGGACGGTCCCATTTTGAAACAATGCCCGTTTGTCTGTTTTACAAAGACGGGCATTGATCAACTCGTGCGTGATATCATAGTGCAACCTCTGGGCATGTTCCCAGGCTGTCAGCTCAGTGTGGTTTTGGCCTCCCTACCCTGAGCCTAAATTAGAGGCTTGCGTCTCGTGCTTTCGATGCTTGTCGGTGTGTCAATGCTGGGGGGGGCTATTGCCCTGAGAAGCCAGGAGGGGCCACCCGTGGCGCTGCACCCCCTGCACCTCAGCTCCAAAGGAGAGGAAGTATCCAAGTGGCCACATGAACAACAAAGCAGAATCCCACTCGACCGCGTGATCATTTAATGGGCCATTGTTTCGAGTTGCTCTGCCAGGAATTGATGGGATGAAAAGGGCAAAATGTGAATTCATCCAGGGGCAGCAAAAAAACATCTGGGTCAGCCCGAGAGTGAACAAAGGTCATGAGTGGCAGCCTCAATTTGCCTGGTGGCTGTGTACGGAAGGGAGAGGGTTGGGGTTTTTTTAACCCCGCAAACTCTGTTTGGTCTGCAATTCAAGACAAAGTCCATCCTACTCTGCTGTTAGGATTTTAAAGGGGGGGGGAGTTAAGAACATAAGAGACGCCAATGTTGGATCAGGCCAAAGGCCCATCCAGTCCAACACTCTGTATCACACAGTGGCCAGAAATACCAGGTGCCATCAGGAAGTCCACCAGTGGGGCCAGGACATTAGAAGCCCTCCCACTGTTGACCCCCCCCAAGCACCAAGAAGACAGAGCATCACTTGCCCCAGAGTCCCTATCTGTACCTTGTGGCTAATAGCCACTGATGGACCTCTGCTCCATATGCTTATCTAATTCCCTTTTTAGGAGTTAATGTGCTTAGTTCTTGTGGCCCTTTCTCACACGCCCAGGGAAATGCTTTGCTACTTTAGGGTCAGGCAGCCATTTTTCTCCAGGCCAGTTTGGCCAGGGATCCTGGAGGGTGTTTTTGCCATCTTCTGGGCATGGGTGTGTGGGGGGAGGTATTTGGGAATTTCCTGCCTTGTGCAGGGGGCTGGACTAGATTACCCTGGAGGCCCCTTCCAACTCTATGATTCTATGATTCTAAATCTCCAGGTACTTCCGACCCTGGAGTTGGCAACCCTGTACACGGGGCGGGGCAAATTGTCTCCACCCTCCAGGTTCCTTGCTGGCAAAGACCGGGTCTGCGAGGGCTCCAGTGACTTTTCCGCCAGGTGCAAAGGGACTCACGCCAAAGCTTGACAGACGAGCTAGCTGGCAGGGACGTGTTGCATGGCCTGTGCCAACGTTGACGGCAGTGGAAGGGAATGGGGCGTGGGGCGCGGGCAGGGCGGGCGGCTCCGTCGCCTCCCGCGGGCCCAACTGCCGGAGCCCTCCTCTTTTCCCTCTGCGTGGAGCTGCTGTCTTGTGGGACGAGTGAGGTCACATTTCCTGCCTGCGACTGCTTGTCTGGGGTGAGTCATGTCAACAAGGTGGAGATGAAAGGAGGCCGGGGAAGCGGACAGCGCCCCCCTCCAGGTTTAAGCTGCCGGGCTTGTGTCCATTTGAAAGCCAGTGGCTCTGGGCCAAACTAGCTGTTACGGCATCCATGGATCCAGCCAATGCTCCCTCTAAGCTATGGAGTCCTGTGAGCAAAAATTCTGCTTTGTGAGCTCCTGGCATTAAAGTTGTGAGCAGGTGATTTGGCTACTGCCTACATGAGTTTGCTCTGGAGCCATCCGTCCTGAGCGGAGACAAAAAACGTGTGAGCCGGAGGCTAAAGAACTGTGAGCTAGCTCACACTAACTCAGCTTAGAGGGAACACTGGCATCCAGCCCATGCACAACAGTGGAGAGGAGGAGAGGAGATTGGATTTATACCCCACCCTTCACTACCAGAAGGAGTCTCAGGATAGCTTACAAACTCCTTCCCCTTCCCCTCCCCACAACAGAGGTAGGTGGGGCCGAGAGAGCTCTTTATAGAACTGCTCTTGAGAAAACAGCTCTGAGAGAACTTGTGACTGATCCAAGGTCACACCAGCAGCTGCAAGTGGAGGAGTGGGGAATCAAACCCGCTTCTCCCGGATTAGAGTCCGCGCTCCTAACCACTACAGCAACAGTGCCTGTGGTGCGGTGGGACCGGGCGATCTTGTCCCCTTGGAGTTTTGAACACAAAACTGTAGGGTTGGTTGCCATTTCTGGGTTGGGAAATTCCCGGAGATTTTGGAAATGCCGCGTGGGGGGGGGCATGGCGTTTGGAGAGGAAATGGACCTCGGTAGAGTATAATGCCCTCAACTCCACCCTCCAAAGCAGCCATTTCCTCCAGAACTGGCTTCTGTCATCTGGAGATCAGTTCTAAATCCAGGAGATCCCTGAGGCCCACATGGAGGTTGGAACCCCTACATAGCTGGATTTCGCTGCTCACAATTTTTGACCTGGCCATGACCACGCGAGAGAGCTGCTCTGCGCGTCCTTGGAGGCATTACGGATCAGTAAGGCTCAAAGCCATCAGAACTCGGATCCAAACTGTTGCAAATCCGTAACTGAATCCTTCAACATGTCATTTACAGACCGATCCTATGCAGTCTAAACTCATCAGTGGGCTTGAAACAAAGCGATTTTGCATCGGGGGCGGGGGGTGCTGCTGGTTGCCAAAAGCAGCTACAGTATGGATTGGGGCCATGGCACTGGGTAAAGAGACAGCCAGTGTAATTTGGCCCTAAAGAAGGTAAAAGGTAAAGGTAAAGGTTCCCTTGCTCGAAAGCCAGTCGAATCCGACTCTAGGGTTGCGGTGCTCATCTCCGTTTCAAAGCCAAAGAGCCAGCGCTGTCCGAAGACATTTCCGTGGTCACGTGACCGGCATGACTAAACACCAAGGTGCACGGAACGCTGTGACCTTCCCACCAAAGTGGTACCTATTTATCTACTTGCAATTTCTTGCTTTCGCGGGAGCACACATCATGCGGCACCCGGGTCTCGAACTGCTGAACTACTGACCTTCCAGAGCCTACAGTTCAGGGTTTTAACCACTTGAGCCACCGCAGCTCCCCTAAAGAAGGAGCGCCTCTGAAAAGTTCCCATCCTTTTAGATGTGGCCCTCTGCTGCCATCTGCTGGCCACCCATGTGTCTTACCGCCTCGCTCAAAGAGTCATTAAGACGTAAGACGTGGGATTCACTGCCCCACAAAGTGGTGGCAGCCATAAGCATAGACGGCTTCAAGAGGAGGTTGGATAGACACGTGGAGCAGAGGTCCATCAGTGGTTATTAGCCACAAGGGATATGTCTAGGCAGTGATGCTCTGTGTTCTTGGTGCTTGGAGGACTGGATGGACCATTGTCCTGAGCCAACACGGCTTCTCTGACATTCTTATGTTCTTATAAACCAGCACTCCCAAAAATCAAATAGCCTGAACAATCACAATCTATACCATGCCGTTGAGATGCAACCGACCCATGCTGACCCCATCCACGGTGTGTTTAAGGCAGCAGCGGAGGTGTTTTGCCATGGCCTTCCTCTGCATAGCGACCCCAGACTTTCTTGATGGTCTCCCATCCAAGGACTAGCTGTGGCCGACCCTGCTTAGCTTCCCAACTTTGACAAGCTCAGGTACAATAGGCCAGACTCCTTTAAAAGCCAGGCCCCATTATCAAACTAAACATTTTCAGGTTCCAAGAAGACAGATACTGAGCAGATCCAGTCTCCCCTGCCTTTTGGAATTATCCACTAATCCATCCTCTTGGTGGAAGGTGGTAAACTCAGAACAAGTTCGTGCAGAGAGGCAACAGGCAGCCCCTTTTAAGGGCAGGTCACTCCATTGCCTCTGCTCATTGGGAATGGTTGAATGCTCCAATCAGGCTTAATACAAGGGAGTTCCCGGCCCCCCAGCAGAGGCAATAGCCCTGTGAGGTACATCAGGCGACTGGCCTCTCACTGAGTCCTCAAGGCTAAAAATGGATCCGAACCCAAGCCTTCCCAGCCTGGGGCTCTAATGATTGCCCTAAACCAGGGGTGTCAAACATGCGGCCTGGGGGGCGGATCAGGCCCCCGGAAGGCTTCTATCAGGCCCGCAGTGGAACTGGCTGTCTTCTGCTTCTTCTTCCAGTTCTGCTGCTGCTACGTCATCATAGGTTTGCTGCTTACAGATACACTCCTGAACAGCATGCTCAAGATTGCAACAACACAGGCATTCTTTAAGGGGGT